CCCCACAGGGTCGGTGTTGTCTCCTCTTTGTGTGTGGATCACAGGGTTTGGCTCTGGGGGACCACAAGTGTCCCAGAGCTGTTGGAGGCTCCCAGGCTTCTGCTGAAAGACTTTGGGTTTACTTGACTTTATGAAAGAAGGATAAAATGCAGGATTTCCACTGTGGTGCCACATAGTATTTGATGGCTAATTTAGTTACTTAAAATACATTGCTGGGGAGTCAAGCTCCTTGATTTCCATCTTTCCGTTCTTCCTCTCAACATTCCCACTTCCCTTGAGTTAACACTGGATGGAGTAGTGAGCCAGGAGAAGAGAACATGATCCCCTGTTGGCTCATAGCTCTGCTTCCAGTCCTGCTCTTCTGGCACTTTGTTATGGTTTGTTTGTTTGTTTTCTTTTGACAGATAATCAAAAGAGTCATCTCGGAAACGTCCAGTGGGGGTGTTACTGGAAATGATGTCATCATGCATTTCTTCCTCTCGACCTTGCCCTTCGGTGGTGTCGGTGAGTTACTGGAGCTCCTTAAGCACAGTGAGCTGCTGCAGCAGCTGGTCTGTGTCAGGTACCCCTGTGGCTGCTACTGCCAAAGGGTCTCGCTACAGCAGATATTGATGATGATATAATAATAGAAAATTCTGGGAGTACATCAGGATAGGTGCTGAAAGGGAGAAACCTTTGGGTGTGTTTTTTTGGGAAGACTGAAGCGTTCAGTGCAGACTGACATGAAAGATGCATTAAAAACATCAGCTGTGATCAGAGTGATGTGCAATAACTGGAGGAGGAGGGGAAGGGGTAAGGTAGGACTTCAGCTCAGGCAGGATTGTGACAGGTCACAGGATTTTGTGGAGGAGGGTTTGGGTGTCGCAGTGCTGACCAGCTGACAGTGAACCAGCAGTGTTGTGCTGCTGGCAACAGCACACGCTGTCCTGGAATTGCAGAACAGGTGTGCCCTGCAGAGCTCCAGGAGCTCCCATCTCAGAGCCTTGGCGTGCTGCTTTGAGGGAGCTAAATCCAGGGGAAGAGCTGGATGGAGACGGCCCAGGGGCACTGAGAGCAGTGCACACAGAACCCAGCAAACTGCTGGGGAGTGTGCAGTGAAAACGGGGTGGGGAGGAAGTGGTTGGAGTACAGGTGGATGTCTTGCTGACTGAGAAGTGCTGCAGAGAGGAAGGATAGTTGTCCTCTCTGCAGGAGTATAGAGGAGAAGTTGGGCCTTTAAACTGCAGCGAGACAGATGAAGGAAGGGAACACATAGTGCAGCTGCTGAAATTTTCTTGTGCTGCTTCTTGCTCTGCTGGTGGCCTCTAGTGGCCAAAGGTTTGACCTGCTGGGCCCGTGGTGTGACCTGCCTGGGTTGTGTCGCTCAGGTAACAGCGGGATGGGCGCCTACCACGGCAAGCACAGCTTTGAGACCTTCTCCCACCGCCGCTCCTGCTTGATCAAGGACCTGAAGATGGAGGGAACGAACCGGCTCCGGTACCCGCCTGGCAGCCAGAAGAAGCTGGACTGGGCCAAGTTCTTCCTCCTGAAGCGGTTTAACAAGGGTCGAATGGGACTGGTGGCCTTGGCCCTGCTGGGCGTTGTGGCAGCGCTGCTGATAAAGGTGAGTTCTGGGTCTCTCCTCCGTGTGAGTCCAGGTGTAGTTCAGCTGATCTTCTGCAAGTTCACTCTTTGCAGCTGCAGCCCTTTCTTGAAGCCTGGCCTGTTTTTCCTATCTTGGCACTATGATATGTGGCCTGCCTGAGATTTATCACGCTCTGCTTCTCACTCTTGCAAGTAGGATCTAGAACAGAAATGTCCTCAGGGAGATCTCCTAAGCTGCTGTGTGGTTTGTTGCTCTACCTGGGTAGGTGACAGCTGTGAGAAGCTCCCTCCAGAGGCAGAGGCTGGTGTGTTAGGAGTGGTTTCAAGTCCAGGGCTTCCTCCAGCAGCACTGTGAGCTGCTCCACAGCCTAGCCCAGGCGGCTGCCGGTTCGTGCCGTGGCTCCCTGGGGAAGGGAAGCTGTGTCCTAAAGTCTGGGGCTGTGACCAGCTTGTGTGCCTTGGCCAGTTGCAACCCCCATCTGACCTTAGCTCAATTATTTCCACTTCCTCCTGTTTCTGGCTGGGTAGTGAGGAAGGGTGGGATGTTCCTCCCCTCTCTGCAGGAGGCAGAAGCCTGCTGGTGCTGGCTGGAGGTCTCGAGATGCCTCCTGAGGTGGAGGGGTAAGATCTCCAGCTCCAAGATCGATTGCTGGTGGTTCTCCATGGCTGGCAGACCAGGCACCACATGTGCCTGCAGTGGCTGCTCCATGCAGGGCTCAGCTGCCCTTCCTTCCCACCCCTGCCCTGGGGGGTTACTAGGCTTTAGGGAGCAGGCGCTGAGGGGCTGGGAGTTGGCCGGGGCTCAGGACTCTGCCCTGCAGCCTGTTCTGTGTCGTTACTGAGGCAAGGAGATGTACAGGAGCCCAGTGAGCCAGGGGAAATAACCTGCCTGCATATTTGAGTCCAGGAGGGGGTGTAAGAACCCACAACTGGCTCAGACCTTGAAGCAGCAGCCAGGGAGGCAGGCCTTGTCTAGGTGACAAAGTGGGGAAGCTCACAGCATCTTGAAATCATTTGGGTTTTCTCAGAATCACCAGTCTGTGCTGAAGAGAAAAGCCCTCTTGATTGTGCAGGCTGTTCAGAGGCTGGGCTGGCCCGGGGTGTGGTAAGGAGGAGCAGGTTTCAGAGCACTGCTGTGGCTGTCACGGTGAGGTAGGAGCCTTTTTCTTCTCCTGTGTGTAGACCCAGTCTGAGATCGGGCAGAACCTTGTCAGAGTAGTGAGGAGGGGGCTTGGAGAAGGCTCCCCCTGGGGCCAGGTGCTTTCCCTGGCAGCGCCAGGAGCTCGTGCGGTGCCCGAGCCCAGCAGCAGGCAGCGTGTGCTGGGGGCAGGAGGCAGCGAGCGGGCCCGGGGCGAGGGGCTGTGCCACACACTGCCCAGGGGGGGAGCTGGGTGTGTTTCAGCAGATCCTTCACGGGACCTTGCTGTTGTTTTGCTTCCACAGGTGGTTTACTACTGAAGAGAGGAGAAGGCGCCACACGCAAGTCGTACTTGGTGCTCGCTTCGTGCCTGTTTCCTTGAGCTGGGAACTTATTGTTTTCTTTTGTGGGGGGTTATTTCAGTGAGCTATCGAGCACAGAGCAGCCTTAGAGAGGCACTAACTGAGGGAAGGCTCGGACTCTTGTTCACAAAAAAAGCCATGCTGGAACAGAGGGACCAGTGGGTACGAGCTCTCCACAGGAGGACTGCAGAGCAAGACATACCTGTCCCTGCCTCCACCCCGTGCCCTGCAGAGCTCTGATCCCGGGGGTGCACACCTGGGTCTTGCACCAAGCCCTTTACCTTCCTTCAGTGACACACGGCTGGAGTTTCAACTGTGCTTGGCTTGACAGGGCTTTCCCTGCAGTTTTTGGGGTGGTCTGTCTTCTGCTGTGCTCTGAACAGCCACCCTCTCAGGGACAGGCTGTGCTTGGCTGTACCAATAGCAATGGTTATGAATAAATTCAGGGAGGTTCCCCTGGTGCATTCAATCCAGGTGAGATATTCACAGATCTCTGCAAACCAGAACCGTCCACAGCTGGGGTTCAGCCCATCAGGGGGCTCTGGCTCTCATCACATCCCTGTAACAATTATCTGGCTGTTAGAAAATGACAAAGATGATACCTGCACTGCCTGTACCTTGGTGAGGAGAGTATTTTGTGCCCATCCGAAACAACTTCGAGGCCTCTTTGGAGAAGTGAGACTCACAAAGTGCCCTGTTGTGGCTTAGCACCATCCTACTATGAAGAAACTTGGTGATTGTGGTGAAAATTAACTCCATCCCAGACCAAACCAGTACAAACCTGTTCCTGGTCAGATTCTTCCAAGAGAAAGCACTTACTGAAGAGCTTGTACTCCTTTGTGTTCGAGCTGCTGGGTCTGCCATAGTCTTGCACTGGGAGATGATGTGGGGCTTCTTCTAGCTTGGGGAGAGGATGCTGGAGAAATTTAAGGTGAAAGGACCCTAGAAATATTGTTTAAATAATAATAATTATAAAATTTTCCTTAAATGCAATTACTCGCCATAGAGTAGAAAATGATACTTACTGTGCAATAGGTGGGATTTCTTCATGTCTGGTGATAATCCATACGCTAAGCCTTTTTAATGATCTATTTTGCAAGTACTAAATAAACACTGAGGATTTAAGTAATAAACTGAGCGTTTCAAGTGCCTGCACTCAGTCTCATGGGGAGGAATCCCCCGGAGGTCTGGCAAGGGAGGTGGGCAGGCCGCCGAAGAGGCACCCGGCGCCAGGCGCGGCGACACGGGGGGCTGTGGCACCTGGGCCCTTCCTCCTGTCCCGTCTCAGA